TCTCAAATCATCATTGTTCATTTATCCTGTTACTGCAAGAGAACAAATGTCACATTTGTACAGATGTGGAACCGCAGAGGAGTGGGGCAGGATCTGAAACACTTCTATTTCTGTTTTTCCATCGACTGCTTATGTTACAACTTATTCTTGATGTGTTTGTAGGCAGCAGTTCTTTTTCTATGTGTATCTCTGTCACATTGTTGCATCTTGTCAACCAGATGATTTAATAAACACTTTAAATTTATTTATTTTTTATCTGGGCAGGATGAGAAAAATTGGGAAGCAGTGATCCAAAGTCTGGAGCGACTACAATGCTTCAAATCTTCCAGTCACTGAGCTTTGGAAACAAACCATCCCAGTGGCCTCAAAGGACTTAACAAATGGAGAGAAATAAGAAAAGCCTTTCCCTGTTTATTCTGCTGCCTGTGCTGCTGCTCTGCAGAAGTGATGAGTGTCCCAGGCTTCCAGAGAGTTAGTCTTTATTCCTCTTTATTCATGTTTAACTGATTTTAAGATCTGTTGTTTGACATATTTACTCATTCTCATCGCATCTCTCCGGTTTTATTTCTCACAGATCTCACTTGCTACACTGACTACAATAGAAACATCACATGTTTGTGGAACAGCAAATACGTGTCTGATGACACTGCATGCACCATACATGCTCAGCATAAATCTCGCTACATGTAAGGACCTCAGTCACAAAAAGAAAACCTAGATGCATAATACTTACAATACACGAGTCACAAATGTCATCAGTAACATCATCTACAGCAAAATCAAATGAATATTCTTCTTCTCAGCTCTTACAGCACTTCCTGTCACCTAAAGTCTGTTGACATGTCCAGACCAGACCTAAAGGAGTGCTCCCTCATCTTTGAAATGGAATACACTGTGAGTGTGTAAACAACTAGCATTGTTGGTGGATACCCTGTTTATTAAAAATATGTTTAAAATCTGTAGAAGAGAGAAAAAAAGAATCATCTGCTTTTTAAGGTATAGACAGATTTGTAGAATCCTGTGATGAGCATATGGCCAGCAGGACATTTAAAGCACACTGCTTTCCATTTTATATTAGAGTATCTATGTATGAATTTCAGGAAGTACAACTCCAGGATCAGGCTTCTTTTTTATTTTTACTTTTTTGCACATGAAGTGAAATTAAAGCTAATTATGGCCTCTGTGCAGACACAGACTACTGTGTGAAAATGCTAATTTCTCAAAACGTAGAAGCTAAACTGAGAGAGCATTCTGGACCCCTTTTTTCTAATATGTGCAGGTATACCCGCACATATGAAATAATAATATGTCAAAAATGAAGAAGAAGCATAACTGGTCCCACCCTTGTGAATTTCACTCTGTGGCACCAAGGAAAACCTCAAGCCTCAAGCATATATACATCACTTCTAGATTTACATCGAAACTATTATCTGTAGATTTGAATCAAAACATTTTAAATTTACCAATCGATTTAGATCTTCACTAGTTTTGGATCATTTTATTAATTTTTCAAAACAATTTATTTCAGTTTCAGTCTTTCCATGTGTTGTCCATGAATCTGAGCTGTGCTCATATGAAGCAGAGTCTAATCACTTCCTACATGCCGTCCTGTCACAGTGAGTGTAATCTATACTACCTCATTGTTACTTACAATATGACCTATTTACGGAGCCCATAGAACATATTTGTCTGATTCGTGTGTGTGTGTGTGTTCATGTGCACACTCTTACAGTAAAGGTGAATCCTCCTTCGAAGCCAGAAGTCAACGTCACCTCTGTTTCCTGGTTGTCCAAAGACCCCGAACATGAAATGATCAGTTTATACGAAAGTGAAGTGCAGTGGAAGCAGCAGGATCAGTCATGGAGTGTAAGTTTAGATTTTGTATCACAATGTGAATGAGTTTGGGTATGAAGTCGAGATCCTGAAAGTGCACGTTTAAATAGTGTGTACACACGATCCTTGCCCTGTGTTTGTGTGAATTCATAGCAAGAGTAAATAAAGTGATATAAAAATCTTTCTGTCTGTCAGGATCCCCCCTTTCAGAAAAAAGGTGACATTCAGTGCGAGAATGAGTGCAGGGCAGAGCTGGACCCAGACAAACTGATACAAGGCGAGAAGTACGAGGTACGAGTTCGTGTGCGGTCTGTTAAACCTCGACCCGAGGGAGCCTGGAGTGACTGGAGCCCCACTGCATCATGGGAGTCACCAGTAGGAAAAAGAAAACCACCATCAGGTACTTTTTTTTGCCAAATGGCTCCAAAGACAAATAGTTTAGTTTAAGAAACTCTGCAGAGTTCTCTTTTACATTCAGTCCTGCCTTCTCTCATTTTTCTAAGCTAACGTGATCGGCTCTGTCTTCTGTTTCAGTACAACAAGGACACACATTTTATAAGAGCAACTAAAGCCCACAGAAATTCTGTATTTGTTTTACCTGATGAAGTCAGTACAGTCAGTACCATTGTTATTCTCTGTTTATGTAAATGACATGCAGCTCCAAGATAGGAAAGTCAAAATGTGAAAATATGCTGATGATATGGCTATTGTTGGTCTTCTATAGGAACTCGAGCCCTAATGGTTTTGCTCAGGGATGCCGGTTGGAAGAAGGGTGTAAATTTCATTATTTCCTTATTAAAAATGAAAAAGCTTGTCTTGAATTACCCAATCCCCATGACCGGCTTCACTTTCTGGTCATTCTGTGAGAGTCGTTAATATCTTTAAGTATCTGGAAACACATTTTAAGGACAAGATTTATTTTTTTTTATGCTCATTCCATTTACAGGAAAGCTAATTGGAGAATATTTTGTTATTTTGTAACATGATTGTTGGAACTACCAGAACAATTACTGGTCGATAGCAGCCTTGATTGGAATCTAGTATCTTCAAGCTGTCTTAAGGAAAGCCTGGTCTATTGTTACTGGCCCCAAACACCCTCTTCACTCTGATTTTGAATTAATGCTGTCAGGATGACGTTACAAGATGCCTCTAGCTAGCAAAAAAGTCTATAAGAGATCCTTTGTGTCAAAAGCATTTAATATTTTTAAAAAATCCATCATATACTGTGAAGTATTTCTATAGGTATATTGGAGTTTTATTTATGCTTAGGTTTGAATGTGGTCTGATTCCTACCAATATTTTTATTATGATTTTATTGCCTGCTTGATTTTTGACTTGGTGAACCAAAGACAATTTTCCATTAGTGTGGACGATAAAGTTATTCTATTCTGTTTTTTGTTTTTTTTGTATTTTTCAGATGTTCCTAGACTTGTTGTGTGCATAATTACAGCAGGTGTTGTAGTGTTAATGGCAGTCATTCTCTGCACAACTAAAAAACACTGGTAAGCAAACTTTTCCAAAAATATCTCAATGTGCAGTATATTATGATTAGTTATTCTGGTATGATGTATTAAAAACAAAAAGATTCTTTTTGACAGCTTCGGTTTTGATTGTAATTTTGTTGCCTCAGGGTTTATGTAGTAAAGACAATGAAAGGTCAGCCCGTACCAGACCCAGGAAAATCCTCCCTGCAGAATGTACATTTTAAGGTAAGCATACAGGCTGTAGATGCGTCCTCTTTACTCTCTACTGTTAAATCATGTAATCAGGTTACAGTTTACAGTTTAAAATGAAAAACAATCGAAGCTGCCATTTCAGGGCAGTAAAAAATAACATTTGTGTACTATCATGGTGAACATGTTTGCAGTAAATGTACATGACTAGCAGCTATCGTTAGCATTTATTTTGATGTGGCAGGCCGTGGCTTGCGGTGCCGTGCAGGGAGGGCAGACGCACCTGCATGGCATCTGCAATCATGCCCCGCCTACTTAAATACTGTAGTGGGTCCTGCGTGTGCACAGCAACCATCAAGTATTAATAAAGAATGATTAAAATGCCACTGGGTCAGCCGTGGTCGTTTACAGTCGAATACTGAATCTTCTTTAGTTTTGAGTTCAAATACTTTGTCATAACCATCTACAAATAAAAATAAGATAACTGCAGCTCATAAACAGACACAGCATGCAACATGAAAAGAGAATTACTGAAAGTTGTGCTGCAGACAGTCTAACCAGACAAACAAAATTGATCACCGATCCATTCGTCTTTTTAATCCTTGTCTTGAAGTGCAGACTGAATATCTTGTATATTTCAAACGTTTCTAATCTCTTCTTCTGTTCTGTGACTTTCTCTCCTCCAGAGTGGGTTCTCCAGTGAATACTTTCACTCCTTCTTGAAACCAGTGGAAATGATCACTGTAGAATTAATCTCGCCTGTGGATGCTGCTGTGGCC